CCATCTAGCCACCCATATACCCATACAATGCAGTACTGTATGTACAAAAGGGTTCATCTTTGTTGTCTGCACCTCGGCCTGGGACTTTTTATAAAGTTCCTCAAGGGATTGTAATGTGTAGTGAGGGTTGGGAGCTCCTGGCTCTAATTACATCACACAGCTCATTAAAAAAAAAAAAAGAAAGAAAGAAACAAACAAACCTTAGCATTCCTAACCTGATCCTCTAGGAGTTCACCATTTAATCAGGGACACACATGTTATCTCTGGTGTTTGAGTGAAGATCTTGGGTGTCTGTGAACACCAGTGACTGAGACTATGAGATACTTTGAAATCAAGTCCAGAACTAGCAGACTCTCCCCTCTTGAACCCTCTTTTGGGCCATGTGTGTATTTATTACCACTGATGTGTGTTATATTAACAGGCCAGACAGGCAAACTCAAAAGCCTTGTCCCAAGGCCAGGAAGTTAACACCCACAAGGGAGGTGTTCAGTGAGAGGTGATGATGATGTGTTGTGGGAGCGGTTGGGTGTAGGGTGAGCCACTGACTGAGGGCCCTTCTCAAGGGGGGCAGCATCACCATGCAGGAATGTGGGCCTGGCCTTACCACATTTTCCAATTTTTCAAGAGAAGTCAGAAATGTTGATTTTTATGTTGAATTACTTCATTTTTCCTAGTTAGGCTCATTTTTATTTTAAAATACACACACATGTTAAAGTGGGATAACAAAACATGTCTGGAATGGGACCCACGCCCCCAGGGAAAGAACTAGTGAGGATAGTGGAATAAGCCCTTGTGTTCTCAAACCAATATTGGAGTTTCTAGTCTTTGTCAGGGACCTGAAGAGTAATGTCACGTGGTCCTTTGTTTGCCAAGTCTCAGATATGCCTCTGGTTTAGAGGCTACAGCCTGGTGACTGGCGACAGTTGTCTTGGCACAGTTCAATTGCCATGCAACTGTGTCACTGGCTACCTGCTTCCACCTTTGCTGTAGCCTTATGAGATGATGAAATTGCTGCTTCTTTGTGAAAGATGGCTCAAAAAGAAGCCAGCTGCTGGTGTGGGTGATGGAGACAAAAAACAAGGGAAAGAAGGATGGCTTTCATCCAGAAAGTGGAAATGTTAGGTGGGTTAAAAAGTGAACTGGAGAACTCTGCAGGGGCTAAGATCTGTGGGGGCCTGTGCCTACCATATGTTATATTCGCAGACAATTAAAAAGCAATTAGAGGGACTGTTTCAGCAAGTGCCCCCTCCCAGAAATGGGTCATGGAGAGAGGCCAAATCTCAAAATATGCCAAAGGTGGAAGGGGGCTGGGGCTGGGTTGTGATGGGCCCTGGCATTAGGGAGTGGTCTCGAGGTTCCCAGGATGTCTGCCTGGGACAGGCAGAGTGTGTGTGTGTGTGTGTGTGTGTGTGTATGTGCTGGAGTGTGGGTGATACACAAGGAACCCCAGAGATACATAACATACACACAGGTACACTGAACCAGAGCTTGGGCAGGAGTGCCTGCACAGTGGCTCCCCCAACCCTGAGGTTGCTGGAGCTCCAAAGCACCTGCTTTGAGGAGATTTGATGTTCTCCCAACTTGCGAAGCTCCTAATTCCATTTTAAATATCTGGCTTCCTCTCAATTTTTAGGACTCCATCTCCCCCTGAGAGGCCTTCCTTATCATTCTCAATTATAGGATCTCTTCTAGCCCCCCACACCCTTAGGACTTTCCTTGCAGTTTTCTTGTGGACATCCCAGTTACACAGGGGGCCTTTCCACCCTCACCTTCACCTCCTCAGGCCTTTGCTGAGCCCTTGTGTCAGGTCCGTGCTGTGTGGGAGGAGCAGGCATGAGCCCTGCCCTCCTGAGGCTCACAGTGCTGTGCAGAAGAGGCCCCAGGACAGTGAGGGACCCCAGTGCAGTGCATTGGTGAGAATACTGGGCACCAGGAAAGACATCCTCAGGCTAGGGGCAGAGGAGTGGGTAGAGATTGGCAGGGTTGTGAGGTAGGGCTTCCTGGAAGAAGGCTGGTCTAAACCAGGTGCTAAAGAGAGTGAAACGAGGATGGGGAGGGAATTCTTGAAGTGAAAGGAACAGCATAAGTGAGGCATGGAAGCTGAGAGGAGAAGGACACAGCCAAGCTGGAGAAATGGGGCTGAGCTGGGATACCATGAGTGGGGAGATGGAGGGTCATCACCCAGTGACCACCTGGTCCAAGGCTCTGAAATGTGCAGAGGAGGAAAAGACTTACGCAAGGTCACATAGCATGTAAATGAAGAAGCTGGGGCTCAATTCAAGCCTCCTGACCCCACAACCTAAGGCTATCCCTTTGTATGACGCTGTCTCCTGCAGACTAAGGTGACTGAAACCTGCAGAGCTGAGCCCAGCCTCTAGTCCTGAGGGCAGAGCAGAGGAAGGACACTGCCCTTGGGGGTGGGGGATTGTGGGGTATGCCCTTTCAGCCTGTTCTCACCAAGACTGTCTTCCTTTAAAATAGTAGATCTAGAGACTACTTCTTCCAGGAAGCCTATCTGTCTCTCCTCCCCAGGTCATGAGCTTCTTCTCACTTTATTATGCTTCACTGTAAATGTCTCTCCTGGGGATGGGGACCCTGAGAGCTGGGTCCCTGGAGGTCAGCACAGTGCATGATGGTGGTCAGTATTCTGAATGAATGTTGTGCGAGTCCTGGCCCAGACCCCAGCCCGAACTCTGATTCCTGACCTACTTTCACTCCCAAGCCTCACTTTTGAGCTCTTTGCACTGCTCCTTGGTGATGACATACACTTGCCACAGCTGCATCCTGTACCACCTCTGTATCTCCTCTGAAACTGGTTTTACATAGGTTTGCCCCCTGGCCCTGTACCCTTTCTCAGCCCCATGGAGTCCCCATTGTGGTATCAACGCCCTGGTATCAGGAGTTTGACCTACTTTTCTACCATCACAGCCAACTTTGCATGGAGCCAGGAAGGCCTTTGCAAAATGGCTGGGGTTTGGGTTTGAGGAGCAGAAGACAGAAAGGATGGGTAATGACTGGAGCCCATGACAGATTTACATTGGTGCCTTCTTGTGGGTCCTATGACAGACGCACTTGGCTGCTAACCAGAAGGCTGGTGGTTCAAATCCACCAGCCACTCCTTGGAAGGAAGGTTGGGCAATCTACTTCCGTAGTGATACTGCCTCGGAAACCCAAGGAGGGGTCGCTATGAGTCGGGGCCGACTCGATGGCACATAACAACAACAACATGACAGACCAGACAGAAGCTCCCCCAGCCCCTCCCCAAAGAGCATCTAATAAACCAGCTGACTGGACTGAACGACAAACTTTATTAGAAACGCTCCTCATTCATCAAATTCACATTAAAGTGGGGGGAGGCAGTACCATCTGGGGCTCTGGTATCTCACTGTTGTGACTATTTCCAGTTAAAAATGAGTCTGGGCAGAGAGCACTCCAAACGCAGGAGAGATGCCAAGCAGGGGAGGGAACGGGTCTCCCACATGCACCCTTCCAGTTATAAGGCTGCCCCTACCCGCCCCAAGTTGATAAATAAACATCACCTCACACACACATTTGAAACGGGAACAAAATTTGTAGAAGTCTCCAAAAGTGAAAAAATAATTTGCTCAAATAAAGCTGTGACAGTCAGGCTGTACCCTGAATGGATGGTTGCCTAGAGACCCTTGGCTCACTAGGAAAGCTCCCCAGCCCAAGGATGTCACCCAACTTGGGTGTGACAATTCCCCAAATTACCCCAATAGCACCTTTGGACTAAGTACCACCATCACCACAATGCTCTTTTAAAAGGAAAACTCTGCTTAAAATAATAATAATAATAATAATAAAAGATACATTCTGTCTCTGGGGTGAATTGGTCAGACTTCTCTTCCCTGAATAGAGCGGCCTGGGGCATCAGAACTGGGGGTGAGGGTGGGTGTCAGTGGTAAGGGAAAGAGGCATGTGGAGAGGAAGGGGTAAGTAAACGCTGTTCAAAGAGGTAAGCTGGAAGGTGTCTGAAAATAGCCTTGTCCACTTGCCAATTGTGCTGCTGGGCATTCCTGGATAACAGTCTTTCAAAGGGGCACAAAGTCCTAATAAGTCCTGATGATCCTGATGCCCTGCCAAGGGGTGGGGCCAGGAGGGGCGCTGGCATCAAGCTGCTTACATCATTCATTATTCAGAGGCAATTTTCTCCTGCTCTGGCCAATTTTCCTCTCGCCCTGTCTGCAACAGGGGCACACAATAGAAAGTCTCCTGTCCAAATGTTTTATTCATTCTCTTGAATAAGGAAACAGTTTCTTTGATCAATACGGGGTGGCTGCTGGTCGGCGAGCAGGATCTCTGGAGGGGCTGGAGCAGGCTTCAGGCTCTTCGTGGCTTCCGAGGAGGTGTCTTGGGAGGGCTGTTCCGAAGGCAGCAAATACTGTTGGCAACAGATATTTCATTTTCAAAGTTGGTAATAAACATATCCTAGCCTCTCAGGAAACAGAACGGAACGTTCTCGGGAATCGGGGTGAGAGGGAAGGCCCTTTCCTGAATGTACTCAGTTAACGTGAGATGACAGGTCTGGCCGCCGACACCCTTGCTGCGGTTCTGCAGCCCCGGGCTCACTGGTACTGCAGGTAGTTTTTGAGAGACTGAGGCAGGGGCAGGGAGCCAATGTCCTGCAGGCGCTGGCGGCCCAGGGCGGAGCGGATGGATCTTCGGCACAGGTCCATAAGCGGCAGAGGCTCCGCTGCAAAGAGAGGGAAGCAGTGAGTACCTTGCATAAGCCTTCCTGGCACCTTATCAACCCCTTCACCCTCCCCTACCCGCTACACACCACCCGCCTGCCTGTTCTGTTGAGCCCTAGCTTCAGGACCCAGGGTTTCTCCCCTGGATTCCTTCCTGGTTACATTAACTGAAGGCCCTGATTCATGAGAGCCGTTGGACAACGGAAGGAAATGCTAGATGATCTTGCGTCAAAGCCATGATTCTGCCCAGATCAGAGCGTAGTGATTCATGGGGTTTTCACTGGTTGGGTTTTGGAAGCAGACCACCAGGTCATTCATCCTAGTCCATCTCAGTCTGGAAGCTCTGCTGAAGCCTTTCCACCGTGGTAGCAATACAAAAGCCTCCACTGGGGACGGTGGTGGCTGCACGTGAGGTGTATTGGCCAGTAGTGGAACCTGAGTCAGCCTGGAAAGGGAGAATTAGACCCCTGAGCCACCAATGTCCCAGCTCAAGGCCGGCAGCAGTGTTGTTCAAACTGTAACCCATTAGACTAGAGAGACTTATGAAATCAATTCAATGATGGTAACCAGCAATTAAAAAAAGAAAAAGAGATGGAGTGCAGTGTCCATAATGAGAGTAAATATTATTTTGTGAAAGCTTTGTCTCTGATGTATTTAAATATATGTAGGTGTTTATTTAGGAGCTCTGGTGGCATGGTGTGTTAGGCATTTGCCTGCTAACCAGAAGGCTGGCGGTTCAAGCCCACCAGCTGCTCCTCAGAAGGAAGGTTGAGCAATCTACTTCCGTAGTGATACTGCTTTGGAAACCCAAGGAGGGCTCACTATGAGTTGGATCTGACTCTACAGCAGTGAGTTACTTTGAGTTATAGTGTCTCAGTGTAAACAGTACTGTCATGATCAAAAATGCTTGAAAGCCATTGGCCTGAGGCAGGCCTGCAGGGGAGCTTTTTCTTAGAAGTAGATTAGATTTTGAGAGGCTATTTGAAACACTTTGGAGTCCTCAAACTTCCCCTAGAGTATCTTTTGGGGTCAGCAGAGGGATGCATTTTTTTTTTTTCCCCCTCTTTCCTCTAGCATCTAGTTCTGGAAAAATTGATAAATTAAAATCCATAAGTACTGAGTAGTTGAACCTGTGGGCTCAGGACCATAGTCGCAGGGGACATCAAGCTCAATTAGCATAACATACTACACAAAACATTGTTCTACCTCCTACTTTGACGAGTAGCAACTGGGATCTTAAGAGCTTGCAAGCAGCCATCTAGATGCATCGATGGGTCTCTCCTCATCCAAAGTAAAGAAGAATGAAGAAAACCAAAGATTCATGGAAACAATTAGTCCTAGCAACTGGTACCCCATGTGATCCACAGCCTATATGACTATGAGACCAGAAGAACTAGATGGTGCCTGGCTACCACTGTCAACCACTCAGAGGGGGATCTATGCAGGAGGTCCTGGATAGAGAGGGAGAACAATGTGGAACAAAAATCATTTGGCAAAATAAAAAAAGAGAGGGGACCAGGTTTGCTGGTCCGATAGAACCTGGTGGAACCACTGAGACTATGGCCCCTAGCTGCCCTTCATATCTGGAATTGAACCTACACCTGTTGCTTCCAGCCAAACCAAAGACAGACATATGAGTTGAATATGTACCTGAGGTAGATACACTCCTTGGAGAGATCAATCAGGGAGAAAGAAGGGCTGCTTATGCACAGGGAGACAGCTCAGGGGGCAGAAGTGCATGGAGGGATGGACACAGGGAAGAGGTAACTATAGGGAGGAAGTGGGAGGGGAGCTGTTGCATTGTGGTAAACTATGGTCAATGACATGAGACAAAGTATATGTGAACTGCTGTATGGAAAGTGAATTTGCTTTGTAAACTTTCACCCAAATCACAATAAATAAATAAATAAAAATAAAATCTGTAAGAAATGGAGCCTCTGGACATAAGGCTGAGTTTAACTGGGTTTACTGCAGACACACTAAACTCTTACTGTCTTCTAGGCCCTGTGACTGATTCTGTGGATACAGACTTAACTAAGCCAAGGCCAGAGGCAGTCCTGGAAGAGGCAGAGAGCTCCTAGTCTGGGAGTTTAAACAGGTGAACTGTACTAGAGTGTCACATATGCAATGATTCCTAAATGTGCAGGGGCAGCAACCAAGCAGTTCCTGTATGGAGGGGTCAGTGAAAGCTTCAAAGAGGAGTTGACACCTGAATGGGGTTTTGAAGGGTGAATTAGAGTGTTACAGGCATGCCAGAGAAGGCAGAGAGAACAGGCAAAAGCACCGAGGTATGAAACAGGATGGGCTGGGAGGTTTGGAAGTGGTGTTAGGTCAGGAATGGAGAGGATAATGACTGTACAGGCCTTGTGTCCCCGAGCAGACAGGGGCATGCTGAGGCCCTGAAGCTGCATCTTAATGCTTTTTTGGTAACAAAACAAGGGTTATTTTTAAAAGCATTCTACCAATGTACTAAGATATAATAAAACCATATGTGGTAAATACTAACACAAGAGTTGTGATAGGAACAGTACCACAAGGGCCGGGGAACTGGAAACAAATGTGTTTCATAGGAACTCTCAATTCGTAGAGCTGCAGAGTTCATAAGGAGAGTGATTAAAATTAAAGTGGGCCTTGGCCTGTGTGTTGGAAGCTGTGGAGCACAAGTGTGAACAGCTCTCCTTCCCCTGAGGTGAAGCCATGTGGGGTAACTGCGTGAGCTTGGGTATTGCAGGGTGGCACTAAGGGGTAGGTACTCATCTGCTAACTGAAAGGTACGAGTCCACCCAGAGGTACCTCAGAAAAAAGGCCTGGTAACCTACTTCTGAAAAAATCAGGTGAAAGCCCCATGGAGCACAGTTCTACTCTGACACGTGTGGGGCCTTCATGAGCCGGAACTAACTCTGGGGCACCTGGATCTGGTTATTCTCTTTTGATCTTCATCCCACACTTGTAGTTAGCTCAGGAGACCCAGGCATCCCTATTTTCCAGGCTCAGAAGGCTGAGCACACACCCCTAGTCACACGGTCACTGTGCCCAGGCCAACATTTGGCACCTCCCTCAAGGTGTCCTTGGACCTCCTTCAGCAATGCTCTGCACTCAGCTCCCCTCATCCTGCCCTGGCCCAAGCTTTGCACCATTGTCCCCTGTGCCAATCATGCCTCTGTGAACACCCTGGCCCCAAACCCCAATCTTTCTATCTTTGACATCTTGCTGGAAGCCAGCCACTCCTCGCTCCCCTGCAGGTTTCCAAGATCTCCTTTGAGATCCTACGCACCAGTGCTTGCTACCTATGCTACATTTGAAGGTTGGGGAGAAAGAAAACCAACTAAAACAAACAAACAAACAAAAAAACAAACTCAGTTGATTGGACTCATAGCGACCCCTCCTTGGGTTTCTTTCTTTCTCTCTCTTTTTTTTTTTTTTTTTATTAGGATTTGGGTGAAGATTTACAGAGTAAATTCACTTTTCATACA